GGGGCTTTGTTATGATAGGACAGTTAGTTGACAGGAAGCAAAGTGGAAGAAAGTGAGGGGGGACAGGGTCAGGAAAACTCCACAAGCTGGGACTTGAACTCGGGACACCTAAAGAGCAACAGTGTTATACACTGTAAAAAATGACCGTGAATTTAACGGTAAAAGACTGTAAAAATGCTACAGTAAAATCCTGTTAAATGGTTAACGGTAAATTTCCCTACTATATACAGTGAAAAACTGTATTGGACATTACATGTATTGGACATTAATTTTGGAAGTGATAAAGACCGTATAATTTACAGTGAATAACCGTAAATTTCCATTCTCAGAATTCCCCGCGTTACATTTCAAGTTTGATGTTTTTTTTGTTGAAATAACTGTTTCTTATTAGTTTTTTCTTATCAGTTTTGTATAATAGAGTTGTGTGTTACACCTAATGTTGTTAAATGAATGTTTATTGCATGATTTCAGTTTCATGTGTGTTACCATGATGGTGTTTGGTGTTTGTGTGAATGACACTGTGCACCTTCTATATATGTTATTATTTAAAAGCTGCTTGTGATGGGTTTTGCTTCATCGTGTGACTTTCTCATCACCACCTGTATTTAGTGGTTATCAGTGTATTACAAAGGTTCAAAACAGATTTCAGTACTTCAATAGGTTGGTATATTAACATTATATCAGTTAATGAAATTACGGTATTTAACTGTAAATTTAAGTTAAAACCGTAAAATCTAAAACGTTGCTACCGTATTTTTTACGGTAAAATTCCGGCAACCACAGCTGCCGTTTTTTTTACCGTAAATTTTACTGATTTTTTTTTTACAGTGTAGGTCAGTGTGCTGCCCACGAAGCTATCGGCGGCACCCAAAAACATTCTTTAATCGTTTTAGCTAATGATAACAGCTCTATTCATATAATTGAAGTCTAATAATCAAGCTATCATTGTGTCACTGTAGCAAAAATAAAATTGTCCTACATACTGGTTGTAAAAACACTTTGACTGACTGACTGAGTTTGATACTGCTCTACAACCAATAACAACACTACTTTAATGGCACCATAGTAACTACAAATCTGAGGCTGGCGTGAATCTGAAGTGGACATAAGCAAGCTTTTAAGGTTCTTGAGTGGTGTACTGTCCTCAGATATCTGTCTGAGCAGATATTTGGCTCTGGTTAAAGTCCGGATGGTCAGACTGCAGGGTTAACTGTGGAGAAGGCCCATCTGCAAGCCATAATGTGCCTATTTAAGCATCAAACCGCAAGATGAGAAATTAAGTTTCATGCTTGTCTTAACAGCTAATCAGTGTTTAGCCTTTATTCTCCCTACATGAACCATGAGCAGGGTCAGCTCTTATCTTATCTGTGTGAAGCTCAGTAGCTCTGCAGCTCAGCTCAGTGCCAGAAAGAGCACACACACACACACACACACACATACACACACAAACATAAAAGAGAGATATATATATATTTAAATGGACGTATAAACACAGATACAAAGGCACAATTGTTTATATATATACATCCACACAGACGAGGACACAAAAAAGTGCAGATCTCTTGACTCACACACACCTACTCGCTTTGTTACTTATCCACAAATACACAAACACACACACACACACACTCACTCAGGAAATTAAGAGTTCCTGATGGATGTGGGTGGCAGTAAATTCACCACAAAACTGGCAGGACACAAACACACACACACAGTGTACAATTAATTACGCCTTCACTTTGAGAGGACATGGAGGGATATGGAAACTAGGGTGTGGAACAGCAATTTTACTGTAATTCTATGATATTTACTGCCATTCTTTCTATTGCTACTATCGGTTAACTATTACTTACCAGCCACAGGACCCAGAAGAACCACCATGGCAATCAGTCCAATGTGAAGAATTGTTATTCGGGCTTCGACTGCCATGTTTTTTCTTTTCTTTTCTTTTCTCCTCCTCTTCGAAGACAATATATTCTGATTTATTCTGTTACTTGTACAGCTGTCTAGGCTTCAGACTGCAGTCATGCAAGAATATTAGTGCTTTAGAGTGTCCAGCATCACACATTTTTTTCAAAACAGCAGCAAAAGCAAGTTGTTCCTTTTAGAATGGCAATGAAATAGAAAAAAAACTATCTTAAATATCTTGCATTAACCTTTGCATTGCTTTTTTACCCCCCCTCCAGCAGGAAGCATCAAATGTTACCAGCTGATGACAGCTTAATCTGTCTACTGAGAGTCTGTGTCGGTTGTAACAAACCAAATTAACAAATCACATCAAACTTTGTTTCCCCCTTTGTTCCAAAGCAGGCGCCCCATACATTTGCCTAATCAGAGTTTAGCGCAGTTATATGGGACATCCCGAGAGCGCAAGTCTCCTCGATGGAAACACAGTTTGTGGTACAGGGTAACATCCGTTGCGTGACTCCCGACTATTAAAATGTCCATTTGTCGTCATATTCCTCGCGTTCGTTATCTTTTGATCTTCGCTTCAGGAATTTTCTCTGTTTCCATGATTCATTGAGCTGGGGAACTGTACGTTTTGCGTTTTTCGTCCGTACTCCAAACAAGGGGAACGGCAACAGAAGACGGCCAGGAAGGAACAGCAGACCAGACAGCGACTGGAAACGCCTCGTCTTCAGATTGTCTCCGGGATCCGTTTGTTCGATGTGGGGGCCGATTTATAAGAGAAAAGAGGCGAGGCGCCCTCATGCGGCAGACTGAGAGAATGACACCTCAGGAAGACACAGGAAAATATAAAGGCTGACAAATAAACACTGCCCTTAAGAGGAGAGCTGTAATTGTTTTTTTACTGAGCTGTAAATTCTTGTTTTAAAATGACCTAGACAACCAGTTTATATATATATAATATAATATAGTATAATTTACATGTACATTACATTTAGTCATTTAGCAGACACTTTTATCCAAAGCGACTTACAAATTAGGACAGTAGAAGCAATCAAAATCAACAAAAGAGCAATAATATGTAAGTGCTGTGACAAGTCTCAGTTAGCCTAATGCAGTATGCAAGGGTTTTTTATATAATAAATAAAAATAAAGTATATAGAATAGAGAGAAAAGAAAATAGGGAACATTAGTGTTAGAGTGTCTTTTTTAAATATAAAAAGAAAACAAGTCAAACGAATAGCTAGTGTTGGAGGGGCATTTTTTTATAATAAATAAAAAGAAAACAAGTAAGATAGAAATAAAATAGAAAGTGCAAGTGAGGGTCAAGTGTTTTTTTTTTTTTTAATAAATAATAAAAAAACAAATATATCAAATAGAGTTAGAATAGAGAGTGCTAGAGTTAGAGGGTCAATTGAAGATATAGAAGAGATGTGTTTTTAGCCATTTATAATTCACAAATATCTTATTTATATAAATTATAATTGAAATATCATTTAGTTAAAAATAAACAATTATATTATAGACAAGAAACATGTTTGTTTTACCTGTTTATATATATATATATAGGATGACTGGAACATAAAACACTTTGTGTGTGTGTGTGTGTGTGTGTATATATATATATATATAGGTGGACAAAGTACTCAACTCCATTACTTGAGTGAAAGTACAGATACCGCTGGTTAAATATTACTCCATTACAAGTAAAAGTTGTAAAGACAGATTTTTACTTAAGTAAAAGTACCGAAGTACTTGCTTTTAAAAGTACTTAAGTACCAAAAGTAAATTTCCTTTTTTATGTCAATGCACTGTTTTATTGTTGTACGTAATACTTGCAATACCTCTGAAGCAACTTACAATACATTACACCTACTGAATACACTGACTAGCTTGTAGTATCTTTGAAATAAAGAGCTTTTAGAATGTTAAAAACCTATGGGGGGAAAAAACTAAACATAAATAAATATATAAATAAATAAATATTTAACACCCCTACCCACCCCCACAAAAGCAGGATGGTAGTGATCGCACACAGCTCTGACAGTGTGTGCACACATCTATGTGTAGCCATTCATCCACATTTGAACAGAGCATCTTTTTAATTATATTGTAATATTACATAATATATACTATTAAAATATTATAGACATTTTTTATTTTATTATATCATATTTATTTGATTTGATTTGATTTAAATATTATAATTATATTATTAATATAATTAAAATACCAAATATTATATGACTGTTCTCAGTTGTACTGAGTGTGCAAAAAAACAAATATATAGGCCTACCTGCATATGTAACTATATATTTTGCTCTTGTGTGCATAATTTCACATTTTCAATAGAATAATAGTATGCTTCTATTTTCTGGTGAATTTTCTTACATTTGTTATCAATTGTAAAAACGATTACATTACGAATAGGACTACATACATCTATGCGTTACTGAATATAGCCTACGTTGTGTATTGTACCTGTGACTTGATATGTTTATAGCGTGATAGCGCCCGTCTCTGGAGCAGACATCAGCAGCACGGAGGAAAACAGCACCACGCGCCTCAGCAACAGTAACGTAGTCTAACTCAACGCCAGCTGTCCTCTGAGTCTGAGGGGGGCCCTTACCGCCCCTCCCCAAAAGACATGTCTGCAACCGCATAAACCAGAGAATTTCGAGCCTATTATCCTTCAGCTGATGAGGACCAATTCATGAATTCACTCGCTTCGATATTACAGCCCCAGCATCACCTTTACGCAGCGACAGCCCATCGACCACCCGCAGCGCAGCAACGCCCATAGCAACGGCGCTGCGCATCCTCAATCTGTTTCTCTGACCCAGCAACACCGACAGCCAACCTGCTTTCCGACGACCTTCTGAACGCTGGATCCATATCACACCGTTGTGTTTTTCTTTTTATCGCAAACCATGAACGCGCCGTGTGCGGTTATTGTCTCATCAGTCAAAGGTGCGTATATGAAACACCGTGCGCTCGTTTATCAATGCATTGCATGTTATTGTTCTATGGTGGATGCTGTTTTTGCACGCCGAATAATTTAATCCATGAAACTATTGTAGATTATGAATAATGTGACCAGTGTAATCTATAAAGCATTGGCACAAACCGAGATGCATGCGGTTCATCGTCTTGTTTTCGTTGTTGCTGAGCGCGGGGCGCGGTGCTGCAGATTTCACGCTGATGCGACTCTGCGTCTGCTGCGATCATTTAATAATCCATCGGCAAAAACTATTCTAAACGCCTAAATAGAGTTTTGACATGTATGCAAAATTATTTGTTTCGTTGATGCAGCAATTTTATGTTATATGTATATAATGGTTTGGATGTTTTATTTGAATGGCGAATTATTTCACCAAAGATTTAATTTCATTAATACATTTAATTAATTTGGTCTTGCAGCGTGTTCTGCATTGCATTAACATTACACCTTATCTAAATCGGTTGCCATGGCAAACACCATGGCTAAAAACAGGCTTTAGGGGGCACTATGTGGGTAAACAACATTACGTTTTAAACAACAACCATTACAATCGCTCAGCCTTCAGCTGACTGTAGGCTGTCTTGCAATGTTTTACATGAATGCATAACAATCTTACAGAACGTCAAACCAGGACACAGATGTGGTGAATTTTACAAAGTGACCTCAGTGATCTTGTGTTTTTGTTGGTTTATACATGGTAGGAACAGACAAAGGGAGAAAAAGATGTGTGTAGTGAAGAATAATACGATTGCGGAGAATGTAGAATATAAATGGGGAACAGAGGTTAAAACAAAATGGAGCCACACATGATGGATTAAGAGATAATGGATAGAGGCCAAGAGATAATGATTGTTTTATTGCAGGAGAGGGGGGTAAAAGCTGGGTCAGCTGGTCAGCAGTTTTTGCTGTGCAGAATAAAAAAAGATTTTAAAATTACCTAAAATATTGATATATACATACAGTATATATTAATGTTTATGGGTCTATATATAAAATATACTTCTTTTTTGTCTCTTTTTACCTTAGTCCCTGGTCATTTCGAAAGCCCTTCCTCCAGCTGAAACAATAAGGGATCCTCCTCCCTTCAACTCACCTGTAAGTTCTGGCCTATCAAGGACCTGGCAGCGGCACGGGAGCTCCGCCCACCACACCCTCTAAATGAGGGACAAGGCCACCCAGGTGAGACATTTATGCCGTTTAAATGCTATGTATGTATGTAACACTTACATACACTAAATGATCAAAATTATACCATAAGAAGAGAGAGAAATATATATATATACAGTATACACACACACACACTACTGCAAAACGATTAATTGCGATTAATCGCATTCAAAATAAATGTTTATATTTACATACTATGTGTGTATATATATTTATACTTGTATATAATTAATATTATATATAAATATAAATATTTATATATAAATCTAACATACAGTATTTTCCTTAATATATACATGTATGTGTGTGTATTTATATATACATAATAATAAATATGCACAGTACACACACATATAGTGTGTAAACATAAACTTTTATTTTGAATGCGATTAATCGTTTTGCAGCTCTAATAAACAATAGGCAGAGGCGGACAGTAGTGAAGTATTTTTACTCTGCTTTAAAAGTACTTTTCAAGTGTCTGTACTTTATCAGAGTGTTTTTCTTTAGAAAACTTTACTTCACAACATTCCAAAGCATAATATTGTACTTGTTACTGCACTACGTTTCATATGAAATATCATTGAATACTTAATTTTATTAGAAATCAAGTAAAAGTAATTCAAAGATTTACTTGAGAACAAGAAAGTGCTACATTGTTATTGTTCTTAAGTATTAAAGATAAAACAAACAACAACTTTCATTTATGAAATTTAGAGCAGTAAAGAGTATGATATTATGCTTTGGACTGTAGTGAAAGAAAGGTTTACAAAGAAAAACATTCTGATAAACTACAGATACTTTTTTAATTTACTTGAGTAAAGTAAAAATACTTCACTACTGTCCGCCTCTGACAGTAGGCCTATCATCTTCTTAACATTTGTGAAAAAACAGGGATCATTTTGTTTGTCTCAAGGCTGATAAATACACTGCCTTTAGAGTACCTGTAATTTACCAATTTTAATATTATTTAGTAAAATATATAGGCAAGAAGCATGTTTTATATATTATTTATATATTATGGATTATTTTAAATTATAATTAAATATATAATAGTATACCAAATATATAATGAAACAATGAGCTCAAATGTATATTACACACAAGCATAAGGTTTTTTACACACAAGCACCCTGGTATATTTTCTTTTTGTCCATGAGTTATAGGGTGCAAAAAGGTTGTTTCATAATTTTTCTTAGCATGCAAAAATGCAATTTAAAAAAAAAAAAAGATTATAAGTTACTGTGAAAGTTTATAGTTATTGTGGTTGTTATGCTGAAAAAAAGATGAAGAAGAAGCATGTGAATCAAATGTTCTTGAAGCCATACGATAGCTTTCTGTGGAAAAAAAGACTGAATAATCTTCCCCTTCCTTGTGCCGATTTATGAATGAATCAGTCAATGCTTGAATTGTTTGGTCCAATCTCTGTTCTTCGCTCATTCTCTCTCTCTTTTCCTTGTCAGACCCCTAAGGCCTGGGTAGATGAGCGGAGGAGAGGCTCTCATAAGCGATCGGCTTCCTGCGGCAGCACTGACCAGCTGAAAGAGGTGAGACATCTAGAGCTATTATAA